TTTTTTTTTTTCTTCCCCTCCCCCATGGGTTTCTGTTAAGTTTCTCAGGATCCACCTAAGAGTGAAAACATATGGTATCTGTCTTTCTCTATAAGTCATACCAATTTTAAAGCTCTATTAGGGTTTCAGAGATAATCGAATCACTTGTTTCCAATATCGTGCCAACAAATCAAAATTGCCGAAGGCAGTTGTGGGGTGGGTTATGAGAAGGCCTTAGGTGAAATGAAAACAAAACAAAAAAACACGCACGTAAAAACCACTCCTTGAGGAACAAGCATCAGGTCAGAAGTAGACCCTGGCAGGGCTGTCTGAATTGCTTGCTGTGCAGAAGAGGGGCTAACTAGGAAAACAGCAGTGGTTGCAAGACCAGTTACCCCCGGCACCAACGAGATGATGCTGCCTTCAGCCCCACGTCGTCATGTTAATTTTATTCATTGGTTTCCAACCCAGAGAGTGGTGGAGACCGAAAGGGAGTCATTAGTTCTAATCAGTTCGTTGCATATACAGATGAATTGATTTACGTGTCCCAAGGAAGCGGACTGACTTACAATCAAATCACACAGCTCTTCCCGGTCGACTACATGATGCCGGGTTCCCAAGAAAAGTTACAACAAAAGACAAGCTCTTATGTTGGATGAGGAACACTGTTCAGCCCTTTGAAATGCCAAAACGGAAGTAATTTCCTCAGCGATTTGTTTCTTCCTTTGAGATCGTCCAGCCATGTGTATTCTCATATCGGAAGAAGTAATTTCACGCGAAGCCCTGAGCTCTGTCACACATGTTGTATGGCAGTTAACTAAAATAAGAGTCAGGAGGGGGAAAGAAAACTTGATGTGTATGAACTCTGTAGTTTCCATAGAGATAACATTCACATGATGGACTCTCTTTTTGCTAACTCAGTGTGTGTAGCATTTTCCAGTTGATGGAACCTGAGAAACTTGACACGAATCTGAATACTGGCTCTCAGAAACGCCAATGCTATCTAGGCATTTTGCCCTGTCACACATGCCCTTCACTACAGGTGATTCATTATCCCTGTAGAAAAAATGTAAATTAGAGGTAAGGAAGGGGGGAAAATGAAAAAAGAAAAAAGAAAACCACCATAGGGAAAGATAATCAGTGTTAAGATTCTGGTATGTACCCTTCCAGTCATTTGACGCGTATGTTTTACGCAACAAAATCCACGATGAAAGAGACAGATCAAATGGGATCTATCTAGCGGCAATCAGATCCAATGATGGCATCTTATTTTTACTTGGCTTTCAGACTACCACTGTCGAAAATGAGATACGCATCGCAAGAATATCAAATGAAAGCCAACAATTATGCTTTTTGGTAAGAAGCAAAGTGAACATCTATTGTTCGGATGATGGAATCTGGAGTGAGTGGAGTGACGAACAGTGCTGGAAAGGTAGGAGAATAAGAGAAGTGACTACATGACTGTAGCTCTTTGCTAGCGAGTTAATTTTCTTATGGTCTATTTTGTAATCGTGGAAATCAAAATGCTCTTGCATATAGTCTATAAACAGAGAAGATAAACGAGCAAGCACCTCAAACATAGGCTTACAGAAAAATCTCATATTCAGTTTTAACTAGGAGTAAACTAGTTTAAGAATCTCGTCATAGCTCTCTCAGCAATATTCTTGTGTTTCTGACCGTCACTAAAGAAAATATGCTAGTTCCTTCTGGGGGAAGCCCATTTTTTTTTTTTAATTAATATTTATTTATTTTTGAGAGAGAGACAAAGTGTGAGCAGGGGAGGGGCAGAGAGAGAGGGAGACACAGAATCGGAAGCAGGCTCCAGGCCCCGAGCTGTCAGCGCAGAGCCCGACGAGGGGCTCGAACTCACGAACTGTGAGATCGTGACCTGAGTTGAAATCAAGAGTACACTTGTTTTATGGGGCGCCTGGGTGGCGCAGTCGGTTGAGCGTCCGACT